TTCAGGCAATTCTCCTGCCTCAGCCTCCTGAGTAGCTGGGATTACAGGCACGTGCCACCATGCCCAGCTAATTTTTTGTATTTTTAGTAGAGATGAAGCTTCACCGTGTTGACCAGGATGGTCTCGATCTCTTGACCTCGTGATCCACCCGCCTCGGCCTCCCAAAGTGCTGGGATTACAGGCTTGAGCCACCACGCCCGGCCCAAAACATTGATTTCTTCATATCATCCAGCATTTGCATTATGTCGGTATTTCCATTTCCCTGATTGTCTTATAAATTTAAAAACTTTTTTTTTGCTTTGTTTAAATTGGAATCCAAATAAGGACGTATATTGTGATTAATTTTTATATCTCTTAGGTCTTTTAAGATTGAGATTTCCTGTGCTTGCTTCAGCAGCACATACACTAAAGTTGGAATAATACAGAGAAGATTAGCATGGCCCCTTAAGAAAAAAAGAATCCTCTTCATAGCATCTTTAAAATTTATTTTTCTGCAACTGTGGAATGTTTCTTCTGTCGTTTTCTACAGTCTGCATTTATGTGGTGGTGGTGAACATGTTCCTTTGTCCGTTGTATTTTCTATAAATTAATTATTAGATCTAGAGCAGTGGTTCTCCACAGGTGTGATTTTGCTTTCCGGAGGGATGTTGGCAATGTCTGGAGACATTTTTGCTGGTCACGACTAGGGGATGCTATTGGCATCTAGTGGGTGGAGGCCAGGGATGCTGCTAAAGGAAAGAATTATCCAACTTAAAATGTCAACAGTGCGGAGGTTGAGAAACTCTGATCCAAAGACTTGATCAAATTCAGGCTTAATTATATTTTACCTGGTTCTCTCTCTCTTCATGAAGTTAGGAGCTATTGATTATTGCCCAGTTTAATTTGCTAGGGGCTTACAAAAGGGTAATATTCTAATTATCCCTTTCTTCCTTATCTGAAGTACCTCTATAAAAAGAAACTACCCTTTATCAATTATTTGGTTACCTTTGTCTACAGTTCATATAATAAAGGCAGATTAAATGCCTGATGCTTTCCCTTTCTTCACCAGCCAATGACATTTATATTTTATTTCAGGTTGATCTCCTATCAAGAGTTTTTGGCATTTGAATCTGTTTTATGTGCTCCAGATTCCATGTTCATAGTGGCTTTCCAGTTGTTTGACAAGAGTGGAAATGGAGAGGTGACATTTGGTAAGGGAAAAAGAAGATTGTAAGTGATAAGTAAAGTTAGTGATGCTGGTCCAATCTTCAATTGCTAAATCTAGTAACTAAAAGATTACTGCTTATTTAGGACCTGATCCATAATTGAATGTCCTAAAAGGATGTATGCAGGTAAAGATGGCTTTATTTTCTTCAAAGCATTAAACGGTTGACAAAGACGAAGAAATGTAGGAATGCTGTTGCTTTAGCTCATTGAGTCACTGACACTTTTACATTCCTAAAATAGGTGGTGTAAGATTTTTCTTGTTCTGGTCCAGCCTGGGCAAAATTCCTTATGAGGTAGACTGTGAACAATGTGAAACAATTTTCTCATTCTTTAAGTGACTTTTGGATAGGGAGTTCAGAGCTTCTCTGTAGCATCCTTGGAAAATTGCTACTATGCCATTGTAACACCAAGAATGGAACTGAAGGAGGATATCAAGGCAAACTTTGTTAGTGTTCTCTGAACCTGAATTCTAGATTTCATTTTAGGAAATAAGGCTAGAATATTAAAATTGCCATCTCAGTTGGATGTAGAAATTGATTTAAATCCTCTAGTAGATGCATAATCTAACACATTGTTGATGTTTTACAAGGATATATACCAGGATTTTTATTTGTAACCATATATTAAAGACACTTATTTACAGAAATTAGTCTATGTTTAGTAAAAGTACTGGCTAATTTTTCCTGCAACATTTTTTTCAGTAAAAAACGTGTAGTATATTTTCAAGGACCTTGAACACCGCCCCCACCTTTTAAAAATATTTGAATTGTTTTTACTGAGGCAAAAAACACACAACATAAAATTTACCATCTTAACCATTTTAAATGTACAGTTTATTAGTGTTAAGTATATTAATATTGTTGTGAAATAGATCTCCAGAAATTTTTCATCTTGCAAAATTAAACTTAAGCCCCTTTTATAGTGTGAATTGGCATGGATATTTATAGAAAAACCCTTGAAAATCAGGCTTTCCCTGAGCTATGGCATTAAACACTTATTCACTGTGGTGTTTGAGTTCTAAAATAGATGTCCTTTAGTTAACCTCAAAGGAAGAAGTATCCCTGGAATGGTCAAAGTGGTGAGAAAGTACAGGTAATCAGAAGGACCAGCAGTGCCTTGACCATAACCTTGGTAGGCACATTTTCTAGCTTGGCATTGATTGTTTCCTTCCTTCTGCCCATTGACTTAATTATCTTCTGTATAAGAGTATGAGAAGACGTTCCAAAAAATGCTATGCAGAGTGTTTTTTGTTGTTGTTAAAATGGAGTCTTGCTCTGTCGCCTAGGCTGGAGTGCAGTGGCGTGATCTTGGCCTACTGCAACCTCTGCCTCCCACGTTCAAGTGAGTCTCCTGCCTCAGCCTCCCAAGTAGCTGGGATTACAGGCACATGCCACTACACCTGCTAATTTTTATATTCTTAGTAGAGATGGGGTTTCACCATGTTGGCCAGGCTGGTCTTGAACTCTTGACCTCATGGTCCTCCTGCCTCGGCCTCCCAAACTGCTGTGCAGAGTTCTTTAGAAGTTTGCATATAAATCTTGGCATCCTCCTCCTTTGGAGCAAGCTTCGAACATTTTGCCTCCTGAAGAATGTTAACTTTCCTCAGAGACACCTAGATTCTGTAGTTAAAGCACAAAACCTCCATCATCTCATTCACATTAACCATGTACTGCTAGTAATGCTGCATTTTCTAGTTTCATTAGTTTCACACATGCTCATGTATATCACAAATGTGATGCAGAAATGCTTGGGAAGTCACTGGATACAGATGTCTGAGTTAGTGACAGTGCCCTGTGCTTATATCCTGTGTGCACTAAGAATTAGATCTCACAACCAAATTCTAATTTATGTTCTCTCTCTACCTTGATATCCTGGTTCTTTGTGTCTCCTCCATTTAATTACTCTCCGCAGTTTCTATTATATAAAATTAGTCACTCAAGTCACGTCATCCAACAGACTGTCAAGACTAACTTAACAGTAAAGACACATGCCATTGTTGACAAGTAGATTAAAATGAGTGTAGGAAGTAGCTACATTTATATATACCTTATTCGGTGGCTCATGCTTGTAATCCCAGCACTTTGGGAGGCTGAGGTGGGCGGATCACTTGAGGTCAGGAGTTCGAGACCAGCTTGACCAATATGGTGAAACCCCATCTTTAAAATATATATACACACACACACACACACACACACACACACACACACACACACACACATATATACCTCTTATTTAATGTAAACGAAAGCTTGTAGTTATTTGATCTCAATTTTAGATTTTTTTTTTTTTTTTTTTTTTTGGAGACGGAGTCTCACTCTGTCACCTAGATTGGAGTGCAATGGCACGATCTCGGCTGACTGCAACCTCTGCCTCTTGGGTTCAGGTGATTCTTCTGGTTCAGCCTTCCTGGTAGCTGGGATTACAGGCACCCATCACCACGGCCAGCTAATTTTTTAATTTTTAGTAGGGATTTTGCCATGTTGGCCAGGCTGGCCGGTCTCGAACTCCTGACCTCAGGTGATCGGCTCACCTCGGCCTCCCAAAGTGCTGAGATAACAGGCATGCGCCATCATGCCCAGCCAACTTTAGCTTTTTATAGGTCTTCTGTTATTCTTTCAGACTATGATTTATGATGAGTTAGAATTTTAAGAAATATAATTAGGATTAAACACAAATCAGTTTTAATTTTTACAGGACCTGGTATAAACTAAAGAACATATAAGCCCTCTAGAATCTTGCTTTCATTCTTTTGCTCCATAATCTAGAGAAAGGAATATTATTATGGAATAAGAAAAAGATAAAGCCAGATGCAGTCATGCATATCTGTAGTCCCAGCTCCTTGGGAGGCTGAGGTGGGAGGATCTTTTGAGCCCCAAGTTTGAGGTCAGCTTGCACAACATAGTGAAACCTTGTCTTTAAAATAAAAAAATATATATTTTTAAAGTTGTACGCTGTTTCTGTTGTGGGTTCCCTGGCTAGCTGGTTGACACTCTTGATGGTGCTTACCTATTTCCTAAGGACTTTGACCATTTCACCTTCTGTCCCTGCCTTCCTAGTTTTAAGGATCCATTTTCAGACAAATTTCCTTAACTAGGATGAAAGAAATAATAAAAGACAGTTTAATTTCATATTTTTAAGAAGACAAATGTTGAAACTGCTGTAGCAAATGCCATTTAACAAGATTTCTAGGGCCTGCTTATTTTGAGCCATATTCAAGACAATAGAATTTCTGCATAAGGAAATAATTAACTTGAAGTTTATTTTTATAGGATTTTGGATCTCAGGTGAAGGTCAGTTTTCATGTTTGTACCCACTTAATAAAATGAATTGTGCTTATATACTTATAGGCACATGTTTAGGTAAAAGTAAATTTTAGATCCATTCTAAATAAATCCTTTTCACCAAATGGCATTCTGTTTTTTAGTTTGGAGCTAGTTATAGTTTTCTCTTGTGCACATGAGAGAAAGTTGGAAGGCAATACCAGATGCAACGTGTAACAAAGTGGACAAAACCTGTTATGCCATCAGCATCTCTTGTAGACTATGATGATAATGTTATCTGTGTACTTGTATATATTGTTCTCATCTATGCTTTTGTCTTTTTAGATACGATTTTTATACACATCAAATTTATACTTAAACTGTGTGTATCTTCGCAAGTATTATATAAGCAGTGATATTGAACATTTACTTGAGTGCTTATATGAGGTTTTTTTTTTGTTGTTAAAGATGCCTCCGCTCTTGGGGAGAGGACTTAGATTGAGGCCTTGGAAATCCGTTTCAGAATGTGAAACCTCAGGAAAGGGTTCTGGAGTTTTTTTAAAGAGTGAATAAAATATTAGTTCATTGTTTCCTCTTTGATATTTCTGTAATAAAACTTCTAATGCATGCTGTGGATGATTACTTAATGGCTTGTATATCTGTTACTGCCAGGTGGCATGAGCCTTGTAGAGGCCATTGCATGACTGGTATGTGCTAGATACAGTGTAAGTTTGCCTTGGTCTCACTACTGTCCACAAGTATACTGGAGATCCTATTCAGTAGTATTGGATTGAGGTAACCTAGATAAGCAGTTACACTACATTGTGTTGTCAGTAGCTGCCATACATTTAAAATCTAGGTTAAAAAACAAAGAAGCTAGGTGCAGTGGCTCACATCTGTAATCCCAGGAGTTTGGAATGCCAAGGTGGGTAGATCGCTGAGCCCAGGAGTTCAATAACAGTATGGGTGACATGGTGAAACCCTGTTCCTACGAAGAAATACAAAAATTAGCTGGGCATGGTA